CACCCAGCCAAACTTCACCAATATACCTTCCCCACCAACCTCTCCCCCCAAAAAATACCACCACTGGAAGGCTGAGGAGATAGTTTTGGTTTCACTCAGATTTAAAACCATGCTCTCTCTATAATGATTTTAGGTCTATAGATCCAAAAAAGGTCTATAGCTTTTTCAATCAGCTCCAAGAAAACCTTAATAATAGTACAACAAACGATACTTATCAGAGAAAGCAGCAACCTCTGGTATGTACATGTTTGTTTAAAAATAAAAAAATAAATAAAAATCACATTTAAGTAAAGTAAAGATGTATCACCTTATCTATAAATTGCTGACAACTATTACCCACACGTACATAAGACCTGTAATTCCATGTAATAAATTTTAGGAGGCATAACCATTAAGGCACCAGTTCAGGAAAGCAGTTTTATTCAACCAGAGAACTTAAGCACAAGCTTAAAATACCACTGTCCATCAGGAAACAGATTTTAAGTGTGTGCCGAGATGCTTTTCCGAATCAGGACAACATGGCAGAAAAGTTTATTTAAAATTTTCAATCCAAAGGGCAATGGCACAGATTGCATGGAAGATTTTCCAGTCCGTTCTTCCCACAAAAAGTATTTTGAAGATGCAAACTATCAGCTGCAGCAAATGAGAAACTAAACCTGCAGAAGAGATTTAAACAGCCCCACACTCCAATATGGACTGAGCTAACAGCACACAACTTTGATATGACTACCTAAGATAAGGACTCCTAAAAACAAACCCACCCCCTACCCCCAACCCTCAGTCAGAATCACACTCTCTCAGTTTAAGTACTGCTGGCTCTGAAACGGTCACACTAGCTTCAAAAACCCCAGCAGAGCTAAAGAAAACTCACTTCAGCTGATGCTTAGGCTACTTCCACATGGTACAATAGAACTGTAAGAGACTTTTTGCAAGCAAATGGGTAAAAGTGTTAGAATAAATGTCATCTCTTTCAGACTAACTCAGTTTAGGTCTACTAAATTTAATGCACGGCTCATTTTTATTATCCTTACTGCAGCAACTGTATATATTAATCTCTGACCATGTGATCACTGGTAATAATTTGGATTTGTTTCTTTTGGAGGTATAAATAAAGGGCACAGACATTTAGCTACACCAGCCCAAAAAAAACCAAACCAAAACCCAAACCCAAACACGAATACATACTTTTACCTTGTATGACACTTCATTCTATCACGCCACCCACTCTGCCTTGGGAAATCCCACCTCACATGCACAAGCAGACTAATACCAACAAATAGTTTGCCTGTATGTTCGTGAGGAGAGGTTGGGGCAGAAAGGAGTTTGGATCGCACTGCTCTCTTTTTGAAGGTTGTTTCTATTTTCTATGAAGAAATTGCCTGGGCAAAATCCTGAAGCCCTGATGTTTAGGCACATACAACTTTCTGGGCGCTACTACAATACAAATAGTAAAATGAAAACAGGGAAAGCATCTTTTCCTCTTCAGTTGCAGTTTGAAATATATATGTATGCATAACCATAAAAAAACGCAATAACCCAGGATAGTATACCTGCAAGTATACTCTACCATTAATGTTACTTTATATTATTATTTAGCACATTAAAGACTTCCCACCTTGCATAATATAAAATTTCGAGGAATAAAACACTAGTCTCATGCATGGCACACTCTAAATGAACTCCAAGAGAAGCAACAAATCATTGTGCTAACCATGACTGTCCAAAAAGCTCACCCATACAGCCGTGAATACTGAAGAGCCTCCTGTTGTTTTAAACTAATACATTCTGTACTACTTTTGTAGCAAGTTCCTTTAATAGCAACCGTTGTACATATCAAACAAATGCAATATATGGACAGAGATACCAAAAAAGTATGAGAAAGACATAAAATGGTTCATTTACAGTGCTGCAAATGTAAAAGTTATCCAGAACATCTTAATAAAGCATCAGACCCTTCCAAGTTTAATTTCACTCTTTAGGCAAGTACAGACATGACATACATTTAAAAATGGACATTCTTTTACCACTTTTCACAAATCAAGGTACAGTGCAGGTACTCCCCCCACCCCACCCCAAAGAAGAATATCAATTATATTATTGTTACGTTAGATGATGTTTTCGCCATTTCTTCAGGGGAGTGACTCTTTATTACTTCTTTGATGAACTGTTCAAGTGCAGTGAAATAACCCTGGCATTGCCAAGTGTCATTATGAGTTCCATCAGGAAATATCGCCAATCTCTTAGTCCGAGCTGGGGATAATTCATAGAGTTGCTTCATCATAACTGGTGGAATTAACTGGTCAGACAACCCAGAGACGAAGAGAGAAGGCATTCTGCACTGGGAGATTTTTCTGTAGGACAGAAATTTATTTTTGTAGCACCATAAAGGAAGATACCTCATCGGAAAGAAAGAAAACAAAGTGCTGGCCATGTATGGGATGCTAAGAAAGGTGTTCTCCACCACGATAGCAGAAATCCTATGGGAATTTTCAGAAGCTAAGTGAATAGCCACTGCTCCCCCCAAGGAACGGCCAAAGAGAAAAATTTTTGTTTTATCAAGATCGGACCGAGTCATCACATAGTCTAACACAGCCTCAGAATCTAAGTACAAACCTTCTTCACTTGCTTCTCCTTCACTTTTTCCATACCCTCTATAATCGACAAGAATTAAGTTTACTTTCAGGTTTACCAGCATTAACAAAGCGTTTGGCAACCTGTGGCCAATGTTGCCTGCATTCCCATGAAAGTAAATGATGGTTGGAGAATACGCTGCATTGTCCCCTGTGTATCTCAGCAGAATAAGATTGAGAAGAACTCCATCTTTGGTTTTGATGAAGATATTTTCATGTGGTATACCAGTAGGCATAGGAACATAAAGGCGTGATGAAGAGGGCTGTTCAGGAAAGTAAAGCAGCACATCCTGGAATTTATATAATATACCCGCTATTGATACAAATATTAATATAAGTAGTATAATGCCTCCGTACAAGTGAAAAGTTACTATCAAGGGTAAAAGACAAATACGGCAGAGACTCCAAGACCAGGAAGCCAAAGCTAGTAGCCATCTTTTAACAAAGGTCCAAAGCATCCATGACTTTTCCATTGTAGAAGTCAGTGATCTTTTACTCCAAGTAAATCCTGTAAAAAAAAAAAAACAAACAAAACCGAAACATGTATGTATAAATACAGGGGAAAGAAAACGGAAGTGATTTAAGCATTCATAGTTGCAGAAGATTAATGGCAAGTCAATACATTAAAGCATAAACATCAAACTTGGTGGCAAACTCCCTTTGAATTTTTGGAAACCATTCAACTCTGTTCAACAAGCAGAAAAGCAATCATAAGGCAAAGGCTTTAGAACTCTTCAAAATCCCATTTACATTATTTCAGCAGGCAAGGTCCACCAGTAGCACTAGAAAATTGGTTGACTGGGACAGTAATAACTCACGCTTTCCCTCAGTCTTCCCGTTGGTATACCGACCAACGGAACAACCATACAAGACCGTACCACCAGTTTGTCAAAGCTTCTCACATAAGTAATCCTAGAATCCAGCGAACACAAACAAGAATAGCCCTTATTTCTAAGTTGCTACTGATTAAGGCCAAGAGGACCATCCAGTAAGCCTATGCGCTTCACTCTGCAACCAGTGGAGGCTCACAATGCACGCAGGGTCTGCTATTGTTTAGTAGCTGTGGTTCAGAATCTTGATCAACTGTGATTACAGAGCAATACATAAACTCGTCGGAAGAAAGAGACTCCTCTATAGTAAGATACCACATTGTAGTTGCATTTATGTAGTTGCATTTATGACAGCTGTTTTGCTATATTTGGATTGGTTCTGATTTATAATGATAGTTTTCCACTCTCGGATCAGTAATCCATAGTAAATCTTTAGCTGAATAAAAGATTGTATCATCACAGAAGACCACTGAAAACAATCCGCTAACTACATTATTCTCTGATCAATGAAAAGCACAACTGCTGAAAAGTCCAAATGTGAGAACAGACTCATGACAAAAACATACACACAGCATAAAATGAAGAGAGTGATGTCAATGATAATGGATTAAATCTTCTTTCCAACCATAAGAGATAGTCATGTCTCACAGCATACACAGAATCCTCTCACGGTATTCACTGCTGGGTTGAAGTGTAATATGGGAATAGGCAAAAACTGCCAAACCTAAATGAGAACCACAGCGACCATTCAGTCACCACTGACTTGAATAACCATACTGCCTGGAAGTGGCAACACAAGCTCACTTGTTTAAGAACACTCTAAGTTATACAGCAGGTAATAATTACAGTTGAGACACGCTCAAAGTTATAACCTCCTAAAATGATGTAGTGCAGTAAGAAACTGAATTAACTCCAAAGGAGTCTGACATGCAGAGATGCACCCAAGCATTCAATTAAGTCACAGGATCCTCACCAAAATAAGCTGTATGGCCTAATACTGCTGGAGAGGGCTGCAACTGCACCAGCCATCTTGGTAGGCTCGAGTGATAAAAGGGGACCTCTGCAGTCACAGCCTTTGCACTCCACAAATATGACAGGCACCCAATATGACCAGGAAAAACTGCCATCTCTATTTTATGCGACAATTAGATATAAATCAGAAATAAAAATAGATCTGTTACATCTTAAGATTCACATATTAACCAAAGGCAACGTGAAATTAAGCTTTTATATAGTGTATCTATTCCAAATATGCAAAATTGGTGAAATATAAAGTAGTCTAGGGAGCAGTTAATCCAAATTTGTTCTCTTACATTATTTATGAGCTCATGTTCAATATCCACATCCAAGTATGCACAAATATTGTCTATATGAAAATTTAATTCTTGTGATCCATTTCTCTAGCAAAGAAGTCACAGTAATTAGGAGACACATAAAGTAAATACTTTAATTTGTAAGGGAACTTCCTAATGAAGTTGACAAACATTTCCTGCATTACATTTCAAGATTATAAGAACATTGATAATGACACAGTAAAAACACTCTCCTTATCTACGCTATTCAAAATTTTGCTGACTTTCTTAGAAAATGAAAGAGAGTCCAAAAATGCTTTCTCAACAAGACATTCACAAAAAAGTAAAGGACCCATCATTAAAACCCCCTATTAAAAACCAAAGTCATCATAAAAATCTTACTTAAGGTGATTAAGTTTTGCGGATGCCTAACCATATACACTAAGGATTGCTATTTGAAGACTGATACTCACAGTTGATTTTATAAGCCATGTTAGTTTCATTTGTGCACTGCTTCTATTTTCATTTCAGTAGGATGATATTATCAAAATGCAATACTACTGAGATACTGCTGCTGTGTGACTACTTCTGATATATATATGTATTTATAGGTATATATAAAACCTTTGCTACTGGAGTTGCAAAACCAATGCGTCCTACAACTAGAACGCAGCATATGGTGATTAGCAGGAAGGGTAAACTACACAGCCACAAACATTTCATACTCAAAATATTTCATTTTCAAACATTTCATACATATTTAAGTAAAGCTGACTACTCTGCACTAATGAACTCCACGACTATTAAAGTTTTCTTCCCAGCTACATGAAACTTCACTAGTTCTGTCCATTTCCAAGCTTGAATTAGACGTCTCTAACTTCACATCTTACTGCAAGATTTGTTAGAGAGCTAAGATACAAGTTTCTCCTAGGTTCTTCCCTGCCTCCTTCCAGGACCAATTGAAAGATCACTAGAAAGCAAAATGATGGTTTCTCAAACAAGCACACAGGCCTAGAAGAGACTCTAAACCAAGTCAATACAAGCCCAATCTCAATAAAGCTACAAACCGTGCTTTCTATGGAGCCCAAAGTAGCAGGCCTTCCAAACGTTATCTTGTTTGACCTGAACAGTAGAAGATGATACAAGCAGAACCAAATTTCCACTTAAAGGACATAAATAAAAAGGGTAAGCCAATATAGTAATTTTCAGTGAGTGATACGGTGTTGCTCAATGCTTTTTGAAGTGTATGAGATTTGAGACTGCTCAACATACTGCAAGGCTACACGAAAAAAAAAAATCAAATCTCATCTTGGTCTTCATTTCCCATTACTGTTGTACTGGATGGGAAGTTATAAACCTGTCAAACAGTTTACAACATAAGATGTTATGATGCAAAAACTCTATGTTGAATTATGAAGAGCATGTGTTGCAATTCTCCTATATCTCTAATTTTTGTGACTAATAAGATGCCAGAAAAATCAAGGAAAGGTGGTGGTGGTGGAGAATAGGGAAGGAAAGGGAGAATAATATATTTAGACTTTGACGTCTGAGCTGGTCAGCCTTAGAAACAGAGCGGACCCACCACCCGGACAAGCCTGTTTCTCTTTCTAGACAAGACTACTTCTGTTCCTAGACTACAAGAACCACTTACAGGCTTGCTCCATAACTGCCTGATGTCCTAGTTAAGGCAAGAAGCGTGCACCCCTTTATGTCTCCTAAAAGAGAACTTTTTAATCCATTTTGGTCATCTGCAAATATAACTAGTTACTTTTTCTTTTTTAATGCTGACTGTTTAACAGGATTATCTCAGTTATATTGCATTCTACTGTTAGAAGTATCACAGCTCTACAGAGAGATGGCATGAAACATCATCCATGTATTACAGACAGAGACACCAGAACCACGGGAAGTCAGCAAGTTAGCCAGTGCCAGGCTAGTGGAAGTTCTGTTTCAGCCAGGGAAATAAAGCTTCTCTACAGCTTTCATTTTCAATTCTCCTAGATAAAACATTAACCCCTTGGAAATCATTCTTGCTTCACTAAAAAAAACAACTTAGTTTTTTGAAAGAACATTATATTGCAGCACTATATTTCAAGTAATTGTCATAACTTCGCCAATGACAAGGCCTTCCTGTAACAAGCTGTCCTGGTTTCAGCTGGGACAGAGTTAATTTCCTTCCTAGTAGCTGGCACAGTGCTGTGTTTTGGATTTAGGATGAGAACAATGTTAATAACACACCGATGTTTTAGTTGTTGCTAGGTAGTATTTATACTAGCCAAGGACTTTTCAGCTTCCCATGCTCTACCGACTGAGAAGGCTGGAGGTGCACAAGAAGCTGGGAGGGGGCACAGCCAAACTGGCCAAAGGGACATTCCATACCATGTGATGTCATGCTCAGTACATAAACCGGGGGAAAGCTGGCCAGGGGGGCCACTGCTCGGGGACTGGCTGGGCATCGGTCGGCGGGTGGTGAGCAATTGCATTGTGCATCACTTGCTTTGTGTATTATTATTATTATTTTTATTATTACTATTTTATTTTGTTTCAATTATTAAACTGTCTTTATCCCAACCCACGAGTTTTCTCACTTTTACTTTTCCGACTCTTTTCCCCATCCCACCAGGATGGGTGGGGAGCGAGCGAGCGACTGCATGGTGCTCAGTTGTCGGCTGAGGTTAAACCACGACACAAGTCATCACATCCCATTTTACAGCATACACAGTAACAGTATTTTATAACTGCTGATTATTTACACTAAGTTAGAGGCTATGAAAACAAGCGTAAGAGAGATTTTTTGTTTTTTTAAGCTTGTCATGAAAGTCAATGTCTGTGACAAATATACAGTCACCAAGAGCAGAACCATATAGTTTTATCTGGTAGGTGTTTTCCTAGGTAACTCTTATATTAATGGAAATTCCTACATAAGCTGTTCTTAGCTACTCTTATTATTAGAAAATATTTCCTAATACTTAACAGGGAGACTTAGTAACTTAAAATTCTTTACTTCTAGTTCAATGCTGATTAACCTCCAAATATGTAACCTTATGTCAATTTCTGCAGACTATATAAACTCAGTTCCTCTGCAGTCTCCTCACAGATGATGTTTTCTTAGTCACAAATATGATCAGAGGTCTTTCCTCTAGCATCTATCTGCTTCACATTTCCTCCTGTTCCTCTGATAATGCTGCATTAAAAAGGCTAGCCTTTGTGAATGCTGGCGGTTCCTACAAGTGGTTTTTTTGATGATGCTTGTAAACTTAAGTAGAAGACAATACTGAAATACAAAGTTCTATCAGGGAAACCATTAACGCAGAAAAACAGCAACGTGGCCCAATTCAACATTAGCACCTAATGAAAGCAAGACTTAGCCAGACTGCTGCTGTGTCTTTGGCTTAACGGCCATTAAAGACCAGTTCAGTTTACACAGCCACAGAACTGTATTGCCTCTCAAAACAGAAATGAAATTTGGAAGTCATGAGTTTCAGTTTCATGCCACAGGGATATACACATATGTAGATACACACACACATTTGTACCTATACATCTCCACTGCCGAATCCGCAGTCCAGGAATTACTGCAGACCTCTATGTTCTATCAGATGAGCTACAAATCCCATAATTAAGTAACTACTGAAAATATAAATCACTTGTCACAATAAAAATTCTGAGGAAAAAAAATGAAGTCTTTAAAATGTCTTGTTTATAATAATACTCTGCTGTGCCCTAATGCTATTCTTAAATGATTAATGTCATTATCAACTGAAGATCATAAAAACTCAAGTGCATACTTAAAGTACTTGGGAACAATTTTTCATTCATTTTCAATGGCAGTTGAAATTACTCTTGTATTTGCCACAAATTCTGTTGTATTTTTTGTCCTTGTCTACATTTTTAATATAAAAAAGTGCTATTTTCATACACTAATCACATTATAAGACATTTACCTTTGGATGTGATGATTTCCCAGGCTTCATCTCTGCCTGAAAGACAATTCCATTTATGAACTTTGAGTAAAATTGCTTTTGAATTACACACATAATTACTGTTTGTCTTCAGTTACTTGAAAGAAAATTAAGACGTGCTAACAGCCAACACCCCTGTAGACGTTACATCTGCTTTACTGATGAAACCATGCATATCATGTTCATGCCCCTCCTATCAAGCTCAGCTCGTTTGAAACATCTTATAAACTTGAAAACAACATCTTATAAACTTGAAAACAACATCTTATAATGAAGTTCAAGAATTACATCAAAATGCCCCGGCCTGTACATACAACACACAGTATAAAACATACATAGTGCATAACAACAAACTTATGATAGATTTACATTGCCTCCTTAAAGGTAACTTCTAGCATATGAGCAGCCTTAAAGTTAGTGCTAAGAAGAGCACTGAGGTGTTTGTTTAACAGCTGCTTTCTCATTAAAGAGCTTTAAAAAAAAAAAGTTAGTTGTAACACTCACTGCAATCCTTTGGATTTCACACTTTCAAAACAAACAAACAAAATGAGGTATTTCTTAAGAATACAGAGAAATATCTGAAGACATCTGTTTCTTTCTACTGCACTTACTTCCCCTACAGTCCATCTCCTCCAGACACAGACAAGATTTACACACGCTTTACATTTACTCATATTTATTCAGAAGACTTCTGTAAGTAAAAATATTAAGTCTTCAACTGTAAAAAATTAGTTTCAGAGGGGGAACTAATCTGGACGAAAACCTACAAGTTTAGTAAGGACAGGAAAAATACACTTTCTCAGTACTAAAATTTTACGGAGACTCCCATTAAAAACCAAACCAAAACAAAAAAAAGGTCAAAACAGCAAAGTAGTCACTCCTAGCCAAGGAAAAAGCAGAGTAAGAACAACTAAGCGTCAGACATTTAAGGGCTCTGGCTTTTAAAATCAGCGAGCCACTTCTACTTATTTCAAACGGCAAACTTCCACAGCTCTGCATCGAGTGGCACATATTCATAATTGAAAGTGTTTTCCCCTCAACTCTTACTATACTTCCCCTCTCAACTGACAAATCTTAATGAACCTTACAAGCATGTCTCGAACTATGACGGTACTGCGTAAAAAAACCCAAAACGACAACAAACCAAGGACAGCTCTCCTATTAGAGCCTTAGCTTTCTCGTGGGCGTGGGCTCCTAAAAGACATTACTTTCCAAGCATGTTAAATTATTTCTATTTTTACCTAAAAGAAACATCCTGCTCAGCCTTTTCCATACACTCGCTTGGCAGATCAAGCGACACTGACGTTATCATCACCTGCCCCACCTTCCACAAGCATCCCCATTTGCAGAAACTGTTCCGTACGGCGGCGGAGACACACGGACCACTAGAGCCAGGTCTCGCTGCGAAGATGCAAAAGCTCTCCCGGGGCTTGGCAGGAAGGCACCTGGAGGAACTTCCGACGGCGCTGCCAAGGCAGCAGTCAGATCCTCGGGAGAGGCGTCCCGAAAGGCAGGCGCAGGAGCCACAGGCGCCCGCGGGACCGCACCCCGCCTGCCAGCCGCTC